CCCAATCTCCGAATGGTCTATATATTTTGAATATTTATACGGAATATTTAACAGTTATAATATTTAATAACGAAATAATTCAAAAAATATTAGCAATATATGTAAAAAATATATCTATAAAGGACTAACTTGTTAATAGAATGCATTTGTTGTGTTTCTGAGTTTAGTTGATGCGATTGCTTTACGTTTTCGTCGTACTTGAACGGCCGTCAGTATACTGGCACTGGCTACATAGGACATAAATAACTACAAGGCTAGCCACTTATCTGATATACCCTCCGACATCGAGCCCAATATCTCGCCTCAGAATCGTCGCAGAGCAATAAATTTCACATCACCTAATAGTACGAGCGTTCTTCTTTCGAAAGAACTTGGTTTGTTCACCATTGCAGCAATTCTCGTGACACAAGACGAACTTTGTTTGTCCAAATTCCAAAATTCCATTTTCGAAAGAGGCGCTAACCCCACGATCGTTGCCACGAGAGTAGCCTGCATGGCAGGCGGTACGTAGGAAATACCGCCTGCCTTAAAACTGGGTGTAAATGAACTACCGCCCCTGAAGCATCAACGCTATTTATAGATGCATTAATTAAGTAAATATTCAAAATTAGCCACTCCCAAGCTGCTCCCAAGTCCCAACTGCCCAACATAAAATAAATTCCTTGATTCTCATCACCGCCCGACTGAATTTTAAAATCCTCGTGAAAACGTTTTATTTTTAGTTATACAATATAAATGTACCGCCCGACAAAATAATTCAAGACAGTTAATTTTTTCATATTTTATATAGAGGTTTTATTGCCATTTTAAACTTCCAATTTGAAACAAACAGAATTTTGAGTGAAATTTCATTGTATTTTAAAGAAACTCAGTCATTCTGTCATTGTTTGTGGAGATACGAACTATTGATATATAAATTATATAAATATAAAATATAAAAAATAAATCTTCCACTGTCTTCGACATTTCAAAGTGTAGACTGTGTCTAGTGATGAGAATCAAGGAATTTATTTTATGTGTTAATATAAACCAAGCCCGTTTAGCCGTTTAGCTGCCTTAAAACGGTGGTTTAATAAGCTCAAAATACAAAGCATGCAAGTCTATACTATAGATTCATCATCAGTCAACAACCAAGCTGAAAGTATTGAACCTTATAGAACGATAGTTTTTATTTGTTTACAACTATACATATTCAACGGGTATATAAGAGTTTAACTGTTATTTGATAATTACTGCATCAACCGGCCCCTTGTTTATACTTTGGAGGTTCGTATATAATATCTATCAAGTATCTTTGGTTCAGAACATGATAGGCCAATATGAAAATCCCACTGTTCGATTCAGTGAAGAAATATCTCCTAATTTCTATCGATAGTTTTAGTAAAATGTCAACATTATTGCGATTTATGGCCTTTGAAAGTCAAGCGAGATAGTATATTATCAAATTAATACGACTAGCCCATACCTTTTGCCGATCATAACTTCGGCCCCTTCGGACGTATATGGTGGCCGATCGCTATCATTCGTTTTTTTAAATAAATACAATGAAGTCACTTTTAATATATCAAACAAAAATAAGATGAATGTAAAATGAATTCAAAATAAAAGTAAAAGTAAATTAAAAGTAAATTAAAAGTAAAAGTAAATTAAAAGTAAATTCAAAATGAAAGTAAATTAAAAGAAAAATTCAAAATGAAAGTAAATTCAAAATGAAAGTAAATTAAAAGTAAAAGTTTTATCGGCCTAGCGCTATCATAGCATACCATAATGCATTGCTGTATTTGAGGCAATAACGCGCGCTTGCATTATTCAAGCGCGGGAATTCGGGAAAGCGCGAGAATTCGGGAAAGCGCGGGTTATTTTTCGATGCCAATATGGCCGATCGTGCCGCGTGGAAGAATTACAAAGCACAAATGAAAGAGAAAAGAACGGGGAAGAAAAAAAATAATTCAGGAGTTAGTATCTTAGAGGAAGAATGTATTGTTGTGCAGCGACTCAGCGCCGATGTTTCAGGAAAGGCACAAAAATATACCAGAATAGGTGCCAGAGAATTTGTGTCCTTCGAATATGATGAGGTAACTGTGGATAACATAAAACTTGCCTGCTTAAATCACTTTGATGTTGGTGAAATGGTTTGTGATGTTGTTGCTGGAGAACAGGGGCCATCGTGCTCGTCGATTAAGCAAATACCTGATCTTAAAGTGATCCACGTGCGTTTTATTCATGGCTCTGATGCAGGTGCAGGAAGCAACGTCGACGAAGGACATAAAAGAATTTTAAGAAAAAGGCCACGGTTGGCTTTACCTGGGCCAAGCGTAACCAATTCGCATCCAACACCGGCCGGACAGCAATCTGCTAAAGAAAGTCAGTTTATTCCAAGAAGTATGTCACTAGTAGAAATGCTCAAGCTTGGGAAAGAAATCAAAGAAGCACCGACAACAGAAGTACAGCTATTCAAGTTCGACCTAGATCAGATCTGTTGGTCAAAACACCCGAGTGTTGTTGAATTTGTGATTGAAAAAGACCCATTTGGGACGGGAGGATTCCGAAATGCATTCAAAGCTACAAGCCAAGCAAAAGAGTTCCGGTCAACTACATGGGTGGTGAAGAAATACCTCCCACAAGCTATTCAAGACATTGGTGTTACTGGTCAGACCGTAGAACAGCACACCAAGAAAGTGGTCCAGATGCACAGTCTTGCACGACATTTCGCTGCAAGACTGAAGCAAGAAATGGAAAAAAGAAATAAAGTGGAGAATTTTGGTGAATTCCTAAAGTATAACAAAATATATTTTGGTAAATGTGGAGAGGAATGTGTTACTGTGGAAGAATTTATAGCAGGAACATTCACCAAACATATAAACAACACTGGTGATGTTTGTGGAGATATCACTAGTGCTATTTGCAAGAAAGCAGCATGTCTCGCTCACTATTCCTTTCAGCAATCAGAGAAACAGCTAATGGTGTTGGATATACAGGGTTGCAACAACCATCTATTT